TGATCACCAGTAAACACTTTCCAATGGTCGTCAGCACAGAGCGGTAAGACACCCTGCCTTCAGCTTTAGCCTGGCTGGGCAGTCTCTGAACGGGATCCTGGTTTATGAAGAGAAGAACATTTGACAAACATACATCTTATCTTCATATATAACATGTAAACTTAATTGATGACATTTCTGTTACCAATTTTAGCAGGCTACTGCAATAACACAGATGCTTGTTAGCAAAACCCAAAGGTTAAATAAGGACAATAGGGTAAACTACAGTGTGTTGACTGGAAGATTTGTCCATAATAGGCAAATATTGTCGTTATTATATTGTTTAAAAGCGTGCCGAATTATAGAAGTGTCGCTAATGATTTGTTTAAAATACAGAATGAACAATGTTTTGATGTGTGTATAATGCAAATACGCAAATACGTTTTAAAATCGCAATTTTTTTAAGGGGGATTTGGTTCAGCTGCTCTTTAGGGGACAATGACGAATAATAAAGATAGCGTTATATTAAAGATAAAGCTTGTACTGCAACATCAGTATGAGAGCAGGAAAACGATTTGCAGGACAGCATTAGATCTCTGATTGAATATTAGCTTTTGGAGTAAGTCAGCTAATGTTAGCATGTTAGCAACAGTCAGCTCCTGTCACATGCACAGAAGCTATCAGAAAACAAGCCCTCGTTTACGTTGCATTACCTTTCTATCAGCATTGACCGGTTCATTGTTGGATGCTTGAGCCTCGGTTCTTTTACGCATTTTGAAAGAAAGTGTAAAAACTACACAAACTGTAGAGATTGAATGAAGTTGTAGCGACTTCCTGGTTGGAAGTGTAAATACAGAAGCCGACACGAAACAAACTTCCCCTTGCGCGTTGTGCTGTCCAGATACCACAGCACCTTTTGACCGGTTTGTACTCTCCCATTTTCAGTGCATCTTTGTAATTATTCATGAATAACCTTACATTTACTGTCAATTTCTACTTTCAAACTTAAATAAACAGCTCATAAGCCCAATACTATAAATTGTGCACACATGCAATTATTATTAAATGTTAAAACATCTTACTAACTTATTTTGAATGTGATGTTCACCTTTTTATCTTATTAGGCAAATGTCATTTTCATATTTTTTATTGAATATGTAGATTATTTTAGATATTATTGAAGTTACGTTTTACTGTATAACAAATAGGAAAGCATCTTAGTGGCTAAAATAAATACAGGTATTTAATTCGCCAAATGTTTTCTCATTATATTTTATTTTGTCTTTATGATCATTTATGTGTTTTTTTAATACTTTTTTGTTATTGAAACGGCATGTTTGTTTCTACATTCTCATAGCTTATTAGGCTACGTTGAAAGGCCAAACATAGTGTTTTTATTTTCTATAAAATGTCTTTACTTGTTGAATGTAATGCTACATGTTTGCACAACTCACTGCATTGTGATACTGTTTCAGCCCATCTGCGGGAATTCTGTGTTGAACAAGAAAATTAATAAAAACATTTTGAAAAGAAAGGCCAAACATAATATTGTTTGTATGTTGATTTTTTTTTTACTAGATTTTTAACATGAATAAATCAATATTTGATTAAATAACTTTATTTGCCTAGGACGCTAATTCATGGTTATAGTGTAACAGCTGGCCTGCAGGGGTCCCTGTATCCCACAAACCCACCCTATTGTTTCCATCATAATGCATTGCATTCAACAGCAAGCAGCAGGATTTACATTCAATCTAATTTCAGACTTTGTTTAAACATCTCACACACTCAAATGAATTAAGGCCATGATATAAACCAGAGGTCATGACTGAACATATTGAAAACAGACTGCATTTTAATATAACCAATTAGATGAAAGTATCAGAAATTGGGATTGCTTGCCCTCTACTTTTCTTAGAACAGCCATCAAACAGTTATCATGTGTAATAATGTGTTAATGGTGAGCAGGAGAGCTGCTTCCAAGGCAAGTAATATATGGAAATTGCTGTTTTTATGCAGCAATACATGTGTGGCGCACCAAAGAGTGCTGGTTTGCGTCATTCAGGAACTGTGACATCCATACTGATATATTCTGCATCACTCACATGGACTTGCACACAGCATTGGTGGTGAATTGGGCCTGCACATTGGCTGTGCTCCATGTCTCTAATCATCTTGCACATTTCAGTCACCAGGGAGACATAATACAGCTAAACGGTTTTACGGAAACATTTCATTAAAAAATGCTTTCTTTTTGTTCTCACTCAGAAGTCCTGGACCAGTGGCTGTATTTTTTATATATATATGCTTTATATTCACCAAAGGCAGAACAAAGCCAGACCCACCCTCACTATTTATCCATGAAATGTTGTCTAGACAAAGCAAAACCTCAACAATAAACCCTGTTTAGATAGGCTAGCAGGTGACAGGAGCCATAGAGAATTCATTGCAGTAATTAAAAATCCCGCCTGGACTGAAATGATGAATGTCAGGTATTGACTCGCTGTCAGGCAGGCTGTTTGTGTATGTGTGCGTGCGTTGTTTTTGTTACAGGGCATCCAGGGTTGATTAAAGCTAATTTTCCCATAGCCCTTTCTGCCCCTTGCTTCTGTTCCAGCTCCACATAATTAGGACTGAGAGCACGACGGTCTCATCAGAAAACTGTGGCATCAATATACAGTGAATGCTATTTCAAACAGGAAGTCACTCGGCCTCTTGACTCCTTTGTGGTCTGTCAGTCTGGACTGCAACTTCTTCGACTATCTGCCTCCTCTGCTAAATCCAATACACCTCATTCCATCAAAGATTTGGACTTAAAGCGATAGTGTGCAGGATTTGGTATAGCATAATAGATTGCAACCAACTAAACACCCTTCCGGTTACCACAGCCTCTGCAACACGGTAGTGACAAACCAGCCAGGGCAAAAGAGTGGTAATGTCGTGGTAATGTTGTGGCATTGTCCGGCACGATGCCTTGCTGATATCACATAAAATAACTTTTAGGAGCAACAAAATTCAGGCAACGACTTGTTAATACACTTTTAAAAGCGTGCTGGAAAACAACAGTTGCCTACAGGTACAAGTTCAAAGATTTAACATGATTTTGGTTAGAAACTTAAAATGAGGGCTGGGTTAGCACAAGCTTGAGAGAATTTCATGTTTTTTTTTAACGACATAAAATATTTCAATTGATTCTCCACTTCAGCATTATGTGTCAAAGAAAGCTGTTGCTAACAAGACATATAAACTACTAAACGTCATCTTGCCGACACAAGTATTTTTTTTTAGTATATATTTCTATTGAAGACATATAGAAAAGAGTGGACATTTGGTACATTGATAGGAACCACAGTTACAAATGTTCAACAGTTCAAAGCTACTAGTGTTCAGCTTAGTCTCTGCTATTGTACATCAATTGACAAGGCATACATACAATAGTTGAGCCTGACTTGAAGGCGTACAATATTTAAACCACATTTATAACCAAAACAGACCATGTAGCCAACATTTAAGAGAGTGTTGTACAGACTAACAGGACAAAACAAAAATAAATAATAACTAGACAATACAAAGAAAAAAAATAAGTATATAATAAAGAGGGAGAGGTGCTTAGTCTAAAACCTAGAGGCCTATTAAAGAATATTACATTTTCTCCAGTTTTAGAAAATAAATAACATCCCTGAGCCACTGAGCATTGGAAGGAGCTTTTTGGGATTTCCAGTGAATAAGAAGAAGTCGTCTTGCCAATAGCAAAGTAAAAGCCAGAATATCTAATTGCCTCGAGTTGTATATTGTAATCTTCTGGGCACCCGAATATGGCAATATGGGGAGAGATATCCTCAAAAAACTTCTTCCAAAAACATGAATGTAATTTGTTTGGCTTAAGGTTCTATTTTCTTCTGGTGATTGCATTTACACTTCAAAAATCACAAAGTTGTGTTAGTATGTCGACATTATCCTGCTGAACAAAATGTGTAGGTATCCTAAACTTGTGTTGGCCAAAGAGTTTATTTTCTGCATTATATCAAAATACAACAAAGAAATCTCATTGCTTTTTATCGATTCACCCCCTGCGATGCTAACATTCGGGTTGGCCTACAAAAGTACGTAATCACTGCGCCACTCAATCTAGAGCTGTGTTTTGTTTGTCCATCCTGAGCTACCGTAGAAACATGGCGGTGCAGAAAATTGGACGAGCTCCCTTCTTACAGTAGATACTGAGGGATCATTCAAAGGTAACAAAAACATAATGATTATTAAATAGTAAACACTTAAGTGACAAGAATGGCTACAGTAACGGAAATAAAACTCTGATGTTGTTTGATGTCCTTGACTTTGGGGCTATAGGTTGGTATTTGGCCACTGGACTATGGTGCAGGGTTCAGGGCATTACACGTCTCTGATTGTTGACAAAGCTCTAAATCAAACCCACACAATCCAGCAGTGATTGAACCCTGAGATTGTCAGATACAGTGTGACATGTAATGCTTCTATGTGATTGCTTTCTTTATGAAATAACCATTCAAGACATTTTTCTCGCAACAAATTCAGATGGAAAAGAAAATCCCAATAATATCAAGGTAGGAATGTGGAGTGCATTTGCTGTTCTGTTGTATTTACAGTGACCTTCAATCAGAATGTTAAACCCATGTAATCTCTTAAATACTACTAATATTCCATATACTTTTAGATATTAAATGAGAGTGTTGTAGTTTCTGTTTGTTTGGGATTAAGAAGATGTTACTGTGTCCTTTAGAACAAGAAGAGAATGTTCTAGTGCTAGTGAAGTGCTTTGTTCACCCTGCTATTCTAATTAGACATTATTCTAATTAATAGAGCATCTGTCCGCAAGCCACATGTAACATCTTCACACTGGTGCTGCACAGAGATGCAAAGCCATTCCTCCAGTGCCAGGTCACCTTGACATCATCTCTGCCATTTGTGCCATGTCTGGAGGCAGCAGCCATTTTTAACGTGTTGCCTCTTCCCCCTCAGCCCTGACATTCGGCACACAATGCATTTCATCTGTGGTTACAGGGCATTTTTCCTGAAAACACATATGGGATAGGACAGCCAGTGAAAAATGGAGAACAGAGCCTGAGTCTGAGTGCAAATAATAACCTATTATTTTGTCATTTCTCACATGCGTCTGCTTTTCCTGGCAGTTTCTGCTCTTTTCCAAGCGATGCTTCTCCATTTTGCTCTCTGCTTGATATCAAGCCCTGAAAATTGGTTTCTCAAATAAATCAAATCATACCGAAGCATTCAAACACACGCTGGAGACTTTACTACATGCACATGAATATCAAATTGTAATTGATATAGCATAGCAGGCAGATAAAAAGCCATTTCCTGTTTGTCTTATCGGCTTCGTCACATAGAGCAGGTTAACTGGGTGACATTTCCGCACTGGGCTGTCTCTATCAACAAAGGCCATCGCCAAATCCCACTGGGGCGTTCATATCTCGCAATATGTTGTCTTGCCTTTATTAAATCCATCTGACTGAAAGGTGGTATGATGTTTCAATGCACCAGCTAAAAGGGAAATCTCATGCAGAAGTTCCGACTGAGGATGGCACCTCAGTCCTCCATCACTTTGGCCAAAACAGGAATATCTCAATTGGATAGATTGTCATGATTGCGGTAAAATGTTGTGTTTTTACAAAAGTGGCTTAACCTGTTAAGCCCCGAGCCTGTTTTTCAGGTCTCAGGCTCGAAAATGACATTCTCAGAACAAATGACCATATCTTCCCTTCTAAAAGGGTTAAATTAATAATCTTTTTTCTCAAAGCAAGGTTACACCTGTGAGTTGGATGTAGAAGTGTCAGAATCAATATAGATTTTTTTTATTTTAAAGTAAATTCAGATTGAACACAGTAAAAAAAAAAAGAAGATTATTGTGTCGGTCCAAAAAAATAAAATTACTTATAGTTAAAACCACCCTTGAATGATGGGATGGTAGATTAAAAGCTTTAGGAATCCAAACTACAACATATAATAAGTACCCTGTATCAAGATTGATGCAAAACAAGTGAAATTTGACCTTTTTAGAGAGATTTAGCACAAAAAAAAAACTTCTGGGGTCATTTGAGTAGTATTATTCATCCCGCTTCCATCACATTAGTATGCATAGAAAGTGACAGGTGCTGTGACAGGTCACACCTCTCCCTACTTATGCTAATGATCTATGCATACTAATGTGATGGAAGCGGGATGAATAATACTACTCAAATGNGACAGATGGGCAGATAGGACAGAAAGGCAAACAGGAAAATGGATATGTTGCTTTACTGAAAGCGACAGTCCCAGACAGAGGCATGAAAACAGACAGGGACAGATGATATCAGCACTAAAGTCTGTGTACCTTTATAGTTGATCTTGAAGCCAATCGAGCCTACACTCTCATCAGACTGGAGATGGAGCCACATCTGATGGGACATGCTGACAATCAGGTCCGGGACAAAGCTCCCAGTCAGCCTGCAGATAGGGCAACAAAAAGTCACTATGGTATCAAAACCCGCTCTGAAACATCATGTGACAAGGAGTAAATATAACATGTGTCCTAACTCATGTGTAATGTATTGAAACAAAAAGAAAACAGACTGTATAACTGTAATTAAAGGGTATTACAGGGTTTACAACGCAAGTCTTCATTGAAATGGTGCAGTCATTACATTCTAATAGAGGTGATCAGCATATCATGGCTTCAAAACATTATGAAAACAAATGTAGATCTAGACAGCTATGAAACTAATTTAACAAAATGAGCAATATCAAAGTTCGATATATTTCCAATGGAGCAAGTCATTTGGTACTTACACTTGTATTATCGTTTTAGAATCACCTACTTCCCCTCCATCTCCGATTGTTAGTGAATCATACCCAATCTCTAGGTCGAACTCTTCAAAGTTGATCTGAATAACCTGAAATAAAATAAAAAGATAACTTGTATCCCCTGTCCTTTGATATGAGTTATGATGAAGCATGGCAGTGCATGTGAACTTTCTAAAAACGTTCTGTCTGTTATCCTACAGTGAGGATGGTTTGTGTGTTTACGGAGAATGACATTGTTGCCCTGACAGGTACATCTTTTTTTAACTGAGAGACTGTTTCTTCTGGGGATTTCCTGGTGACTGTTTCATTTTGGCAAAAAGACCGAAATGTTTTTGATCAAAAACCAAAACGTAAGACTTCCTACTTACCGTTTATTCAGATAGCTGCATACTATAGGCTACATTCTGCTACTGGTAGCAAAATCACTCATGTCTTTGAAATAAAAATGGAAGACAAAACACAAGAATTAACTTGTATTAAATGTGAGTGTTTATAGATGAAGACAAATTCCCTCGTTCATGACATACACCCCTACAAACAAAAGATACCATAAACACAATATGGAAAATGACAACAGCATCTCTTCACATTACTTTGAGTACAAATCAAATGCTAAAAACCAATTCTAGCAGGCAAATCTAAGAATCTAAAATGTTTAATTTCCTGTCTGCATTCACCCTTCAGATATCCTCGTCAGCTGTCACTGGTTAAGATCTTTTCTCCCTTACAAATGTACATCACGAAAGATTACATAATCACTGATCAAGCTGGCAACAGCCTTTTACACTTATAATGTTTATCTCTGCTGTAATGAAATATAGCAATATTATCTCAACCTACACTTTGCCGACATGGGTGAGTGATGAAAGAAAGGATGTTGGAATGACGGGTGTCACATCTGTTAATGACAAACATATGATGGCTGCTTGCTCATCCTTAACATCCCTTTCCCAGGCCATTGGGAGGACAATGCCAGCACAATATCCATGTATAACAGCCTCATTACAATACGCGCGTAAGCATAATTGCCATAATAACACTAATGGCCCAAGCTTCAGTGCCAAGTCAATGGCGTGTTTGCCTAGGCGAGGGCACGTTGGCACAGAGCTGTGGCACATGCCAGTCCTAGTGAGTCTGAGTGAGTGTAATCTGGATAGTTATTGTTAAGTAGAAGAATAACACTTAGTTACACCCCTGTGTAAATGACACCCTGGAATAACAATAGAGATGGAAATTAATGTAGGAGAGCAGTAATGACCATTACGAAAACAGCTTTGACCTTTTCACTTTGGGAAAAAGCTGATTTCATTCAATCATTATTTCTGTTTCCCAAAATGAATAAAGCAAATGGCTCAACTGTCAATAGTGGAGTCTAGTGCTAAAATGCAGCTAGGTAAATTAATGAGGGACAGTGAACTTAAGTCAAAACCCATGCATATTCCATGTAACCTTTTGCTACCTTGGAAAATAGATGCATACATAAATATGTATGCAGAAGGTTATGCCCAGACAAATGCTCTACACCGAAAGGAGGAAAGCAGGGTATCTACATGTTTCTGCAGACCCTGCACAAGAACAGATTTAATGACTAAATACTTTTTTACACCTCTGAAATGAAAAAAGTAAATTACTTCAGCAAAAGGAATCGACTAGACTGCAGTAAACACTGTTATTGAGTGTTATTGAATTTGAATAACTGGAATATTTTACTTTGTTTTCTCTATTGTAGACCCTGACTCTTTTGTAGTACCTTGTTTGGATCGCTGGCTGTGATGATCCACACACATTGGGAGTTACTCTCATACTGAATAGGAAAGTTAGGAGATGTAAAAGTCCCAGAGGGTCCTTGTAGATTCGACCCACACGTTTTCACTGGAAAGGCATAAAGATAAACATAAGGAGACAGACAATAAACATATTAAGTTATAAGGCATTTAAAACATCTTTGATTATTCAGATACACATACAGTATTTGTATATACATCATTTAGTAGGTAAATCCACATGAATATGCTCAGAAGGCAGTGTTATAACTCCTCCATTGTGATATGACAGACTTTTAATGTATTGTTTGCACAAATACAGAGAGAATGTGTATTAGCGGCATTTCCATTAATCAAATTCTAAAAGGTCCTACAGGTATTATGAAACAGAAAAACAGAGCATTTTGGAAGGTAAAATTAGAGTGATACAGCAAAGGCTCTCATACATAATTAACAAAAATGAACTTTCCTCTATCCACATAGAGCCTATATCCAGAGGCACTGCCTTAATCAAACTGTTTTATTAGCTCTTCAGAAGCCCCGCTCACCCTTGCAGATGGGTCTGTGGTCGCTCCAAGCAGCGAAGACTTCTGCCACTCGCTGGCAGGTAATCGTTTTGGAGCCCTGCAGCACATGGTCTTCATCACAGGTAAATTGAGCAGTTGCTCCAATGCTGAGAAGATAACAAACACTATCAATGCCTGAAAGAGCAAATCAATTGCTAAAAATTACTCCAGAAGAAATATCAAATTCATGATTTAACTAATGTCATCATAACAGGTTTACATCGCACATCAATACTGTATATCGTTATTCAGTAGACACAGGTCGAATTTCTTGATTAATTCATTCATTATTCTCAGTCTCCAAATATACAGCATAAATGTCAGAGTGAAATAATGGTAACCTTTTCACATGAACTGATAAACACCTTAATTAGGTTCATTTGATTGCTGGACATTTAATATATTGCTGGATAGACCTAATAATAGAGAGTTATCTTAGACATAGAGTGCATACTTATGTAAACAATAAAAACATATACTCAGTTTTACAGGGACCTGAGAGTTGATTTAACTGTGGCATGAAGCTGCATTCTGCCCAACATATCAGATTATTAAGTCTGCAACATGTCAAAGAAAATAGTCAAAAAGTCATGTGGATCTTTATTCTCTGCTGAGAAGTGCACAAAATACAAGCAGCAAGAAGATTATCTATGACCCTGGCAAATCGAACAAAGACTCCATAATGAATTGAAATATTGTAAATCTTCCAAACTGATGCAGGTTTCCCTAACAAGATTAAAACTGTGTTTGTTCAAACCGTGTTTGGAGATTTAACAGAATGTGACAGCAATAATTGAAATATGCTGCGTTTCCTAACACTGAAATTGGATGGAGAACCCTTCTCAACTATATCCCACCAACTGAGCAGCATCTCTTCAGCTGCTGGAGCACCAACTCACCTGAAGTTGGAGCCAGTGCGTTTGCCATTCTCCGACTCCCCTGGGTCGGGGCAGTAATTAGACACCTGTTTGAATCCTCCCTCATTCACTGAGAGAGAAAGAGAAGGACCAAGAATGCTGTGAGAAAGGCACTTTAGTTGGCCGAGCTCTGTACTTACAGAAAACACCCAGAAGTTGTGGTCTTATCCGGTAACATCATTTGGTTCCAGGAATGACATCTGTTTACCATACAGTGACTTGTTTGTGGTGGCTGCCATCATTTTAACATTGGCCACCACATATTGATTTTAAATTGTTTTGTTATTTAAAAAGGGTGAAATCATGTTTGATTTTAAAGCTGCACGCAGGGCATTGATTCGCTCAGTCCCTCCTTTCCCACTTTCACAAACACATTGACAACGGACTGTTTGTGAAAAGCAATGCAAACTCTGAATAAAAACATGTTTATGCACAAGAGAAAGGGTTGTTGTTGGCTATTGCTGGAGGAGAAAATAAGTCGGCGGACTGAATTGATCTAGATTTCATGAATTGTTAGTATCATGAACACAAAAACAATTCCAAAACTGATGCATTGTAGGTGACTGATACGTTATGTGAATCTATCTTCTTAACCCATCGCTTTCATTTTGACACCCTATTTCTGATATTATCTATAAGCAGCAGTATGAAGTGCCTAGCTAGTAAATATTGCAATAAGTCAATTTTAGCTTCGACCACAATTAGAATCTTATTCTATGGGGAAGACTGCCAGCCAACACGGTCACAGAGTTTGGCTTGCCAGTCATTTGGCAGCGCTGATTGTGATGATACACATGTGCTTTCTGATATCAGCTTGAGTGCCCAGGGTAAATGCTACTCTTACCAGAGCTACACAAAATAAAAGGAAATATATCTGGGCCCAAAAGGGACTAAGAGGATTAACTATCAATTGCAAAAGCTACAACTATCACTCAGTGAGACTCTCCTTACATAATAAAAGTTTAAGTGCACTACATAAGGCCTACTAGATATTCTTATGAATAGAGTATAGCCTTTGAGAGTAGAGAAGTGGCTAAGAAGAAAGAAAAAAGCTCAGCTATGTTGTGACTTTTAACAAGCTCCCCCTCACATTAGGATCTGTAAATCAAAGACTGCATGAAGTGGAAATTAATATCATGAAATATGTAGGACCATTATTATGGTTCAGGTTTGTTGTAGAATTAGCAATAAGACATCGACCCACACACACAAAGGCACTTGGTTTTTAAAAACGGATCAGTGTTCCTTGACACTGTGTGTCAAGGAACACTGAGTGTTTTTGCCTTGACATTGTTCAGGAAGTTCATCAGCTTTGAAGTTAATTGTTGCAGGTGATGAAACAGGGTTCAATTATATGCAATAAACCCACAAGGCACATGAAGTTATCTTTATAGTGTTTTAAATTATATACAGTATTGCCTCAGAAAAGATTAACGGGTTCTGCATTATTCATGTCTCCATGCAAGGTGAATCTATGACACATAAGGTAATAAAGATTACAACCTGTTATCATTGAAGTGTATAGCACACAGTGGAGTAAGAGGGAATTGTGTTGCAGGTTAATGTGAATGACAGAGCTCCTCAAGCAATTAGAATGCATTCACTTTGGTCTGAAGAGTACACAAATCATCTGACAAGTGAGTGGTCACTCAACCTTGACTACCGCTGTGTGTTTAGTTGACACAGTGCATGAACATATTGACAATCTGATGTGCTGCTGAAATAGTAGAGAAACACTAGAGCTGATCGAATTCAGCATTGTTGATTCAAAATACATAACTAGGCCTGATCTCCGAGTGTCAGGACAGGAAGTCTGTTACATGAGCGGAAATAGGTCATCAGAAAGAAAAAGAGACTGCACTTCTGCAAAATCTAGTACTGTAGCTTAATTTCTTCACCAAATGATGCAGCAAAGAAAATAGACAAGAAACAAACAAAGACCCAGAACACAAGCCCTACATAAACAAAAAATCCAAACAATGAAAACAGTTGCATAAGAAAAATAAAAGACTTACTCAAAGACAGTTTGTTAGTGTTGTCCTTTCCTGGTAATAATTTTACCCCTCTGGATTTAAGCTCTCCAGAGCTTTTCACTGGTCGAGAGCAATAGAAAGAGTTCATTAGATAAAAGAAGTTACAGTATTAGATGTGAGAAGATACAGTACAATGGTTTCTTTCTCTAGATAATAATTCCTATGAAGAACATCAACATTAATTGCTACTGGTGAGAATCTTTTTGCAAAAGGAAATGAGTCCAATGGCTCTGATGCATTCCTAAGGGTTGCCCTGGCAATTCTATAAAACTTAAATTAGTTTCTCATGTTTGGTCATTTATTTAACTCAGACATATTAAACAGTGGATCAAAATTGATTGGTCAGAGCAGATTAAATGGTTAGAGCTTGTAGGGGGAAAATGCTACACTGAATTGAAGAGCAGCCAAAGGACTGCAATGCTACAGCCCAAGACAGTCTCATTAAGCACAGTAAGAGCCATATTGCTCACAAAAGCCAGGTGATGCAAGCGGCAGTCATCATTTTTAATCATCAAAAGCATAGCCAAAAGCAATAAATGATTTCTCAAGCAAAAACAAGGCTGTTTGAATTTGACAACATTTAGATAATACCTCTCCTGTGAACTACACTGTTGGTCAAATGGTTCATTCAACCCATTGTTAACGTAATGCTCAAAAGCACTAATAAAACCTCGTAGTGCCTGTTGGTGGTTAAAAAAGATTTGCCCTTTACATCATAATTAACACACGCATATACAAATTGCTTTACGACAACACAACCATGCACTGCAATAGGAGAGAAATACGATTTTTCATCTATTGATTTCATGTCTCCATTTACAATGAGTTCCACCATGTGCATGTTACTGAAGATTTTATAAAGCCTTTTATTGTGAGGTTGCAGGTTTCATATCTGGCTTGGTGCCAGGCTTTAAGCCTTTGTAGTATAGTGTATGCAGCACATACTGTGACTTTAAAGTCCTGCCAGAGAACAATGTCAGGGTAATGGATTATCGAGCTGCTGGAGCTCGGTTTCATAAGAGGAAAGCATATACAGTATTTATCTCTGAAATGTTTTTGATTAACAAAGGCCCTTTGAAGTCAATGGTTTGAAGCAAAGAAGACCCTAATGCCCTCTACAGAGGAGGTATTAATCAAACTCTATAATATTCAGTTAACAAAAGATCAAAAACATGTTTTGCAATTACAGTGTGTTCTTCTTACGATGATCCCTTTATGCTTAAGGAGGGGACCCTCTATTATGATGTGCAAATTAAGTAATCATGTCTTACCTTGATACTGGGCCCTGAAGCCTTTGTGGCGGTGGTTGCTTTCTGTCACGAAATGCAGCCGGAGCCAGTTTGTGTTGCTGATGATGGGTGCTGGAATATTCATTCCAGTTATCCTGAGTGTAAAGAGTCACAACATAAAGAAAACACATGTCATCGGTTTAAACCTTTACTCAACTAAAGAGCTTATCTGTCAATGGCATTCTTGTGTTGCCATAATCACCTACAAGAAAAAAGGTAATTGGGTAAAATGAAGAAACCATGAATAAAAACGTTGGAGAATATTATATGAACTTAGAAAGATGAGAAAAATGCATCCATTTATTTAGTATGTCAGGATTTACAAGTATATGCACAAATTAGTGGCAAATAGTAACAAAGAGAAAGAATGAGCGCGTTTTAATTGTGCTGTTGTTTACATTGGCAGGGGTCTTTGTCAAAACTTGCCTGTGTGAGTCAAGTCTGTGTGTCCTGACTACATCTGCTGTACCGTGTGTAATGGCGTTTCAAATGCAGCATCAGGGACCATTTATAATTGGGAGATTTAAAGCGGCCAGGGGCCTTTCTTGTTTGTATGGCTGAACAGCTATGGCTTTTTTCAATTGTCTTTCAATGCCAGCACCACACCCTGTCGTACCACGGTCAAGAGCACACAATGCCATTCTAATAATAATAATAATAATTTCAATTTATATAGCGCCTTTCACGAAACCCAAGGACGCTTTACACTGGGAAGTAACAAAACAAAACAAAACTGTTTGAATTCTACAGTAGCTATCAAACAGAGACTGGGGACAGAGTGAGAAAGAGTGGAGTGCAGTTGAGCCCAGTGTTCCCAAATCGGCTCAGTGGAACAAAAAACAATGTGTTAACTTGTTATTTTGCCTGTGTGTGAGCGTAGTCGTGTTTAAGGTTGGTTTTTTAATCTAATTTCTTTGGCATTTACTGCAGAGTCACCAAAGGGGCAGGCTGGAAAAAAATAAATAATCAAAGAAATGTGAAGGTGGCAGTGAGAAAGAGATAGGAAGAGAGTAATACGAATGAATAGAGAATGACTTTTTCCCCTCAGTGGCCATTTCAGACATAGGAAAAACATTAGCAAGTCTATTTGACATTATGTCAACTAACCAATATTATTCCAGAGAAGGGAGATCAGAGAGATTATAGGCTGTTGCATGCTTTACTTTTTGATTCTCTAGCAAACAAATTACCATTTTTTGAATACTGATACTTTAATACTAATTATCCATCACAAGGATAGATGGCAGTTCCCAGTAAAGAATTAATACGATATTTATTCTCGCACAAAAGTTTACCTTTTCTCTCATTGCTTCAATGTTAAAATGCTAATGGTACCAATAAACGGCAGAATGAAAAAGAGCAGCCCTAAGGTAGCCGGACTATTTAGGAAAAGGTGCCTTCATGTTGCCTGTAGTGAGAGCAGCAAATTATCACAAGATTTCTGCTAGTAGTCTAAAGGAAAATGGATGGTGACAATAAAGCTGTAACCATCTGGATGTTTCATGGATGCTCAAGGCAGAGCAGGAGTGATCTTACGAATGTATGAACAGCAGAAGTTAATATACTGTTTTCTCCATGGCAAAATATGGGAGTGGAAGTGAAACATGATCTGCCATGAACACTAGATAAAGGCTTGATGACACTCTACAGAGGAACAATGGGAACATTTGTGTCCATGTGAAGCAATTGCAAACCATTCTATTTATTTAACAACAGTCTGTATATAAACTTACTACCCCTGATGTGACCTGAGAAATCTCAGTTTGCAAACATGTTCTCTTGCTTCTCATGATGTCTTTATGTAAGCAAAAGGTAATGCAAAATAATTGAGATCTACTTTACAAAAATTGTACGTTTGTCGCTAGTACTTGTCGATGTATTTGTCATTCCAAACAAAATAAATTAGTGGATAATAGGCTGCCTATTCCTTTTAAAACATTGAAAAAGTATTGAATGCTGTCTACTGTTTTTTCATTGTAAGTCCGATTGGTCAAATTGATTCCTCTCATAATGCACCATTCCATCTCCGCAGACTCACTCAGGCTGTCCATTTGATCCTTCACAAATACAGTATGCAAAATGGCTTTTCAGAGATTACTTCCTAGCATGAGTGAAGTGTTTTTATGTGCTTGCTTTGATCAAAATCTGAGCATGGTTCCTATCATTTATTTGGGGCGTCTCAAGGACTAATGGTAGATTCTGACATTGGTTTGAGAGGCAAATCAGAGTTCTCATTACATTCTCTAAGTAAAATGGAGTCGATAGGGAAGGATATGGGGTTAACGGGAGCATCGCATCAAAATACCAACGCAACGAGTCTCAATGTGCAGATACTGTGGCCGAATGTGGCATTGAGGCCAGAGGGAGAAGTTGTGATCTCTAGTGACTTAATTTCACAGTGAAGTCAGTCATACGTAAAGTAGGTTAACCACAGATAATAAGTGATCAATTCCAATTTGACAGAAAAAGATAGGGCCAGGAGATTATTTATTTTCCTTTACCTTTCCCCAACCCGTTCAATCACACTCAAACAGTCTTGAAGTGAAGTTGCTGGGAAATTCAACAATAATTACATTTGGCTACACAAACCACAAAAACCTAAACATTTACGGTTTGAAATGAAAATAATCACTTTTTGAATAAATATGATGAAGTTGAATTTATATTGTTTGTGTGTTGGTCTTTTTATGAGGAGGTGGATCTTTCAGATCAAATTGTCTATGGTATCTTTCACATTCTATTCTAAGTGTATAATGTAGTGATGGATTCACACTGGTCTGGTTCCGGTCTTGATTTGGTCTCGCCCTGCCTTGGTACACTCCGGTTTTGGTCAGGACTTGGACTTGGTTAAGGTGGTCTTGACTACAACACTACTGGCCACTTTATTAGGTACACCTGTTCATAACACAAATATCTCATCAGCCAATCACATGGCAATAACTAAATGCATTTAGGCATTTAGACATGGTCAAGACGACCTGGTGAAGTTCATAGAGTGGCCGGTGAGTGTAAATTACTTTTAAAATATATTTTGTGAAGGGATAAGCTCTATATCGCTCCTCTAATTAGTCCCTCTTTAAAGGCTGTTCTGGGGTTGTACTTGTACAGTGTGGTGCCTGTCTGCCAGCAGATTGACTTGTGAGAACAGTAAGCCTGTCACAGTATACCCAGTAGTTTCTTACAATAATTTCCCTGGTGTAATACCTGGGTCAATTGTCAATTCATCTTCCTTCAATCAAACATTGCATTCTTCACAGGCAGACTGCAGTAGAGGACGATAGCTTTTAGAGACATGTTGATGGCTCATATTTTGCCTGGGAAGATCAATAATAACTCCAAGGAAGAAGAAATTGAATCCAATACACATGGTATTATAACCAAAAGTTGGAAATGTATCCGCAGGGCTCCTCTTGCTCGAAACCCGCTTTGAATATTGTAATCTTTCTCTGACAACCATTTAGCCGGTCTGCTTGAATAGGGCTGTTCATATTCAGTAAACTAAACAAATATTGCCAGATTGCTTGGCGCATTAACAATTTATTCTTTAATCTCAGCTTCATTCGGATGTTTACAACATGCAGAGTAAATGTAATAGTACCCATTGAGAAAAAAATCTGCTAAGACACTAAATGATGGAAAGGTAAATATGGAGAGGAAGCATAAAGACATTTTACAGAACATTTTGCGATCATATTCCGTAGTATATAAGCAGAAAAGTGTATCAAATAACCGCATAGCCCTTCAGTCTTTTCAGGTTACGTGTCCTTATTTGAAATAATGAGTGATGTGTAATCTACAGCTTGTTGTTTTTGCCCTTTGCAAGCAGGGCTGTACAATCATATTAAAGGTCGGAAGAATAACAAAAAACAGTTTTCCTTGGTCCAGCTAGACTCCGAAGTTGGCATTCGTAAAAAGGAAACTGAGATTTCTTTGTCTATTTTCAAGGTAATTGATGTGTAGCCTCACATCAACCTTCCCCAGCAGAGAACTGATAGAAATCTTCAATTGATAAAAGGATACAAATTCCTGTCAGCAAAACATATTCCTTGTCCAAGACTCTTGGCTTTTGAGTACTATTAGGAATTTTTTTTTTTTTAGCAGTCGTCATCATCCATCATCCCCTTTCAGCAAATTGGCAGGCAAAATTGGGCAGTTTAAAAGCTTACTTCATTTTATATTTTATAACAACTTAAATATTCCAAATAAATTAAATATTGTAATATTCTTAGTATCTTATAGAATATCTTATTCTCCAGTATGAAAGTGAATCATTCTTTTAGGGATGACGTTTTTTTTTAATACAATATTAGTAATATTGTATTAAAAAAAAACGTCATCCCTAAAAGAATGATATATTACTTTTCTATCTTCATACTTGAGATATTGTTTATCACTCTGTTTTACCACAGGTTGAGAGAGGATAACAAGTCAAGTTGGGACACAGTATAAGTCCATTTGCCTGAAAAAGGCTAAGAGGAGATGTTAAATCTGGCTGACTTTGAGGTTCCAGGCTGTCAATCATCGTTAAGCAGCTCTAAACCTCAAGGGTACATTGACAGTTTGCTTGTCTCTGCCTGCAGCTGGTGCTATATGTTAGGATGCTTCAAAGTTTAGCTGTCCATTGGCCTTGTACACAGCGAGAGACACTCATAAAATAAAGGCGAGTGAGAGCAATGAAATGTTTGGGCATGCGAGAATTGCTCACTCTGAATTGTGTTTGTTTGCTTGTCTCTTTGTTTACCTGGCTGAGTTGAAGCCTTCCCTCTCCGCTTCACTCTAGCTCACTGAGTCCCATTAGGATTGTTGGGCTTACAACCAGAAGTCGGCCTGACAGCCTCCGACATTTGGTGTCATACAATAACATCTTGGAGATTCAAAGCATTCCAGTTATGCATAATGAGTGCTTACCACACACCTGAACAACAACTTCAAATAGATGATGTTACTTATTAAATTGCTTTGCCTGAATAAACACAATATTTGTCTTTTTTACCATCTCCTTGGACACAGGACTGAAAATAACCTATTTGAAGCCACCAGTTCACTCTTAAGGGTTAAAACTCCAAAGTATATTGAGTAGTATGCATTGCATGTTATATTCCATTGATTTAAAAAAGAAAAAATAGAGATAGTGATATATGCTAATGTTTTACTGCTGTTAAATAATGCTGTGCATTTGCCAGTAAAAAGTTTGAAAGACATTTGTTTTTAATCATTATTCGCAGTTCAACAGTCTCTCAACCGTGTAAAGATATTCCATGCCTAGAGAATTAATTAAGAAAAATAAATAGTTATAAAATGCATGGATTCTCTTAAATCCTGAAAAACAAGATATTACTAGACAACACAATGCATTTACCACTGGGGCTTTCAGAGGCATTTCTGTCAGTGAAAGAGTTAATGTTGGAGAGAAGAGGATTACCTGATCAGTGTCATCACCATATCCTCTTCCTGTCAAACTCCTAAGCTACGTCAACATTCAATACTTAGCAGTCAACACCACACTCAGAGCACCTCTCCTTTGACTCCCCATGTCTCTCACTGACACACTGTCTGTCTTTCTCTCCCCCTCTGACTCCGGGAGACAACTCTCAGGGACAACAAAGCTTGTACCTCAGTGATTGATTAGAGCTTCTTTCAGCCAATTACAATTAATGCCCGGCAGGATCATATAAACCTGGCAAATGCTCCCCTTCGCTCAGCACAGGGAAAAGATGGATAACATTAGCCTCAAGGTTGGGGGTCAAACCCATTTAATTGTTCCTTGTTTGAGTTGGGAGTACCTTCTACATCAAGCCTTTACAGGAATCCATCAAGTGTCTGAAGGCTGCTTTTTAAACAAAACTCTGTTCAAGATGTATAGGTCATGTGGTCTTTAATTTGACTTATCACACAGAGAGTCACGCATGCGTTCTGTTAAGACATATTCAAAAGGTTCTCTGCACACAACTGTCCATGCAAATTCATTAAGGTACATTAACATGCCAGCTGGCCTTTCCCCTTAAGTTTCCAATACATGTGGCTGATTTTAGAGTGCTGCTCTTGTCAAATATTACGACTTCGTGCTCATGCATAAACAGACCCTTTGTTTTTTTGCATGCTTCAAGATTGCAGCAAGAAGGCCTCGTTATCCCAAGAACTGAGACACAGTCCTAAGGCGATACAGCCTTGTTTTATCAAGCTCACACCTCTCTTTGGAATAAATTAAGAGCTGCCGATGCAGTATCGCACTCTCTTGTGATCTGTAAAATCTACTCAACAGCTATTTATTCTCTCTACTAGGGACGTGCACAGACATTTGGAGGGGCTATTGCTCTAAACTGGAAAAAGGGCCTCCCCCCTTGTTTTTAATGTAAAAGGTTCATACAATAAAATGGGGTGGCTGTGGCTCAGTGGGTAGTGTGCTGGACTTCGAACCAGGGGATAGCAAATTTGAGTCTCACAGCAGTCAGCATGTCGTTGTGTCCCTGAGACACTTCACCCCAAATTGCTCCTCTGGGGATTGTCCACAGTATTGAGTAAGTAAGTCTCTTTGGATAAAAGCGTCTAACAAATGACATGTAATGTAATGTAATAAAAACACAACACTGTCATTGCAAGTGACACTCATTGACTTTCATGACCAACTGCTAAATTCGTTATTCAGGCAAATGTTTTGTTTTGCGGTCCATATCTCATTAAAATATCTAATGTTAGTAACTATTAAAGAAAAATGGGGACAATTCTGTTTTAATGTAGTTTGACCATTGTAACTGCTGGGAAGACATAGGCTACTGATAAATTGGGGCTTCTAACAAATTACCTTAAATAAACTCACTAATTAATTAAACCAGTTCAATACGCATTATTCTTATCATTCTTTATGAGCGCAGTAACAGTGAGGTATTTAATTACTTATGTATTTAGAATTCCATAACTTCATAACAGAGATGGTCAAACTAAAGTGGAGACATGGCAGAAATCCTACAATAAAGCGGGACATTGAACTGTTCACCCGTGAGAAGGCAATCAAGAAAAGAGAGTGAGCGGCCCCGTTGAGGGAGTTTAGAGATGAAAAGACACAGAAAGACAAAAGCACAATAACAAGTATATTTAGGTGTGTTTTTTGTAAATAACCGACGGTGTCAAGAGGAAGTAAAGTCCCCTGGTTTGTCCCCTATACCCTAACGCCAGGCAGGCATTTTGGTGTGATCACCATAGCCATATGAGGCCGGACTCGGAGGGCTTTCCTTTGCTTCCGGCTGTCAGATTGTAAACAAAGTCACGTGACTGGGGGCAGATGACAACGCTGACAAGTTGTGTTTTTATCGCAGTGAGACGCTACAATACTAATTGTGGGCTTATCATGTTGATTCGGCCACAGTAGAAAACAAAAAAAACTCTCGCTCTCTCCAGAGGGGCAGGTCAGACAAAAATGGCAAACGGGCCGTTGCTCGGGCAACATTAGCCCGTACCTGTGCACGTCCCTGCTCTCTACGAGCGTCCATAACCTTCTGTTTTTGTTATAAATAAACAACATTTTTAGATATGCAGGATTTTTATCACTATGGTGCCCATAAAAAGACTGATCTAGGTGAGTCATTTATATTTTCAAACTGAATGTAATCTTATTGTTGGATTAAATCAATTGTTATAGTTTATTATTAACCATACTGATTGTTTTGCCATTGCTTTCGAATAGTCAAGCTCTTTATTGCAACCCAGGCCATCAAATCAATTAAAGTTCTATCTCTTTGTATTTATTCCTCTTTTTCACACACGCCTACTACTTGATGTAGTTCTTTTGTATGTTTAGGGTCCAGTTTGGGTTTGAACGTGCAGGTTTGGGGCTGTAAGCTCATTGTAACACTATGTTATATTGGGTCACACGGATAAACACAAGTTCTTACTTAATTGTAACTTCAAATTGTCAATTGAAACTTTCTTGCTAGCGTCTCTGGATTATAAAATGTCTGGCCTACATTTGGTTTGGCAGCCCTGTCTGCTAAATGAATATAGGCCATGATTTACCAAGAGTATTTTTAGCATATAGCGTATATCACACAGGTTTAACAATAACAAGAAAACTATTGAGATAATTATCAACTGATGCATAACACATGTTATCTTCAGTTCAACCTAATCTTACTTTTATGCAATCCCTTATCAACACCATACAACATGCTCCAAAACCAAAACTAGTTGTATCAGTGCTCTGCTTGTTAAATATAATCAATAAAAGAGCCACACTCTTTCTCACAGCTCAACTCACCAGATGCTTGCCGGATCAGATCCTTCTACTTCAAGATAATCCGACTTCTCCTCCATCTGAAATTCAGTGAAAACCAAGGAGATGGTGTCCCCGGGATCTGCCAAGATGGTCCACTTACACTCCCCACTGCTGCCAAGGCCCCCAGCAGCTCCACCAGCACTGGTGGAATCACCGCTGGGGAAATCAAAGCTGGAGATGAGCCCGCTGGAGCCCCTCAGGGTGCCACCGCATGTGTCCTCCGCTGTCAGTCACCAAAGAGAAAAGCAAAAAGGTTATGTCGGAGTTCAAAATGTCAAAACAAGTGGCTTCAGGCATAAAACATTCATACCTGTCACTTCAAATAAATTAAAAAACAGCAAAATACCAATTTGGAAGCTGATCTTAAAGCTGCACAGGCTCTTTAAACACATCATTATACTGTATTATTATTATTTTAAAAACGCAAGCTGTCGAGTCCAGTGCCTACAGTTACTGTAATTATGTTACTGTAATGTTGTGCTCTTTCCTCTCTTTTCCCTGATCTTGTCTCCTCCCTTTATCCAAGAGTCAGTAATTCCTCATTATGTCCTCCAAGCCCCCTAAAGTTGAAGGAAACAAACAAATGATGATAAACAGGGCTTGTGGTGTGAAATTGCATATTTTTTTCCCCCAATGTGGGAAGCATGGCACGTCAGTTGAATGTTAATGCACTCAACCATAACAGTGGCTTTCTCTATTTCCCTCCAGATCCCTTTCCCCCCTTTCTCCCCCACCCTTTCTTATATCTCTCTCTCTCTCTCTCTTTCTCTCGCTTCATCCCTCCCCTCCGAGCCCTCTCAGATCTTTCTACTATTAGTCACCATCCTCCCCTCTACCCCTGTATCCGTTTTTTCTCCCTTAAGAATTCTAATGATGGCAGGGCTTTCACAGTTTTCACATCATTTAAGACTAATATGTGACACTCAGCTGGGCCAGCTGAAACCTTTGATGGCTCAGCGCTCCACTCAGGGCTGTCAGAGCTGCCAGCCTTGGAACATTCCTGCATGCTGCATTACATGATTGGTCAAGGAACAAGGAAGCTGGTGTATGAAATTCAAAAGAAGATTAAGAAAAAAGAGGTGAAGATGGGAGAGCAGGAGCTGCTAGTTAGCTTGATCTATGTCCTTTGACACATTAGCTGAAGCGTAGCATCTGATCAAAGTCTTCATAGAAGGAGCAGAGATGTCATTGATACTGTGTGAGACATCAATGGCTGAACACACATATGATTTAGATCAAAGGCCGACTGGTTTGAAGACTACACCAAGGGCAGGATTGTATTTGTTGAATGCCTAAAGCCTAGTAACAAGAGAAGCAAGTGTCAGTGATAGATTGTGTATCCTTAAATCATTTAAGATGGCATAGAGTGCCAAAGAGATGTGTTGATTAAATTCAGAAAGGCTCAAATGTAACTTTCAAGTGTCTATTCAAGTCAAACCAAAGGTACCATATCACTTTCTAACCCTGATGACAGACAGTGGGGTAGCGTAAAGTGTCCTTGTGTCATTCAAGGCAAAGAAAGCAATAAAGGAGTGGAGGAAACGCATTAGATAATGAGGATGGAGAGAGTAGGAGAAGAGAGGAGACAAAAAGGTGGAACAGAAAGATGCAGGGGGATAGGTGAGAGGTAAGTGTGAGTAAAAAAGGCAAAAGGATAGGAAATAAACGAGAGATAAACTGGAATTTTGCAAGAGACCAAGACAAACAGGAGAAATAACAGGGATGGGATAGAAAGAAGAAATGTCAACAGGTAAGCTTAAAGACAATCAAACAAGCATATCTGCAGCCAAAACCCACCCTCATCGTATCAGTGACTCGAGCGAATGGTAGCAAATGTCCCTTTCATAGGACCCTCTAGTCTAGTTCATTTCACCCCTCTCCTACACGCAATACTTACGCTCCCATAACACCAGAATTCAGTAATGACCACATATGACTTGAAAAAAGTCAAGCTGTACTTTTCTAGAAACTAAAGACTAGCTTGTCTAAAAAGTCATGATTATGTTTTGAGTATTAGTGTATTCAAAATGGAGTTTTACTATTTAAAAAACCATATAAGACATTTGATGAGTAGTGTTTCTATCAAACAGTATAAGTTCAAACACCCATACATTCTTCATTCTACTACATTTTTAAGCATCTTTAAGCTAAAAACGTCCTATTCGTTCAATTGCTCTGCTTTTATTTACCTTTTTATTCTCCATCATTTAAAGTTATTCAAAGCTGGTGACATCGCAACACAAAACTGGCTGGTGGAGAACTATTAGCAGCCACAGAAAAACTAAAGAATCATGGACTTTTTGGAAGGACTACAAAGTAAATTCACTTTATGATGACCAAAACTGGATGGACTGATACAGAAACTTGGGGGTTGAGCTTCTAGCTCTTACTGCTAAGTATTTGCTACTTTTTTTTAACGCACTCTAGAATACTGAGACATTGATTTCTCATTCAGTGCTACATAAAATATGCAAAAATTGAACCTGGCAAAATTCACTACACCTAGAAATTATTCATTATTTCAGCTATTATCTTGTCGCGAGAAAGACATTTAGTTAATTGCATTAATCCCTGTGTGGAAATAAGGTAATAATTAATCAAAAACACTTTTGCACATGCACTACTTTTGAAACTTTCCAAGGTCTAGTAACAATTCCGGTAAATGAATCACAGTATAAACTAAAGCAACAGAATTATTTTTAAAAGCTGAAAACGAATGATAGAAAATCCTTTCAACTAAACAAGATTAGATTAGATAGAACTTTATTCATTCCGAAGGAAATTATTGGGGCAGGGGCAGGATCAACTCCTGAACAACAACAAAAAGCCGGCGTTTTATCCAGTTTGTACACAACGATGGAGAAACTTAAAAAGCAGCAGTGGTCCACTGAAGAGACCAGCTACCTACTGGGAATCTGGTCTTCTGAAGAGGTACAGAGGAAGCTGGAGCTCAATCGGCCATTGTTGTTGTTGTCGGTGTCAGCTGTGAGGGGTTTCCGCGTGGTTTGGCTTTATGAAGCAGGCACGCAAACGGTTACGTCATGACGCAAACGATGACGCAATGACGCAGCACCAGTCGGACTCTGGGCGGTGTGAAAAGAGCCAGAGCTAAACCGAAGAACCGGTTCTGAACCTGAAAAGCTCTAGCACGGAGCTTGAACCGGAGTTGCGTTGGTGTGAATGAGGTAAGAGACCAAGGTCTAGGAGCATTGTGCAATGAAAATTCTATATGAATCAATCCATTATCAACACACAGTAAGACTCAGAGTAAATTAAGTCATGGTGAGAGGAGCATACAGACAGCAGAAACCAAAGGCTGCCACCCAGCTCTGTTTATGTTCTCATTCTTACTGAAGGCACAGAGGACACAACGTTGCCACTGTGGGAAACGATACCACTGACATAATCATAATAAAAAAAAGAGACAATGAAAAGGCTCAGGCAAGCCGTAAACAAAAATGAAAGCCCTTTTTGTTCCTTAGTTCTTTGAACACCAGAGTACGAAGCTAGAACACATGAACAATAGCTCCTTTTTAGTTTTCTTTGAAGTGTTTTCCATGATAACACACTTGCTCTCTGATCGACCCTAAACATCATTCAACTCAGTTGGTGGCAGCAAAATGAGAGTGACAGGTACAAAAGGTAGTGCTGCATGTAGATTACCCACTGTCTACAAGCAACTTTGCAGCAAGGCTTTGGTCAAACCAATAAAGCTTCCAGTCTTTCTTTGGTTTATGTACTACCGATTACAAAACCTTCCTCTAAGGCATTTAGTTAGATTTCCACAACCACCTTTAGTGATAAAAAAACGTTTTTATAACTCATTAATATGTCTACAGTTGTAGGCAATTAAATATCACAGGACAATAGGGTTGATGCATTGTACCTTGACAGGTTTCGTAGCCATTTATTTTAAAGGCATCCATGCATGGTACTGTATACCATAAACCGGCAAACTGCTGTCATAAGCTAAATAAATGCTTTGCAGCTAGAACATTTTAAACGGCTTGAACTGGATAATGCTCACAGGTTCCTTATATTCACGTGCAGCGTTTGATTGGGATGCATCGCAGCATTTGAGGTACTGTAGTGCGCCAACAAGGTTTAGTGACAAAAAAGCAAATCATTAGAGCATGTCTGGATTTAAAGAAGGAGGAGGATCTGTCTCTTAAAAACGGTGGCAGTGTAAGAAAAAAAGAAAGATGGTGGCGAGGATTAGGACTGCTTTAGCTGAGCTCATTTACATCCCCAGCATCGGCAATCTAATGCTACTTGAGCAGGGATTAAGCCTCTCTCCCCTTGACTTTGATCAGACAACACTTGTCTTTCTACTTAGAAATATTCACCCCCAAGGATTGAAAGGAAGGAGCTCATGTATAATGTTCACACTACCTTAGGTTTTTCCTTTGTCATAATCCCTGTGTTAATGCTAGGCAGGGACTATGTCTACAGTACATTTCTCATTTGCTCCGCTCCAAGTCATGTTTAACATGTATAGGGTTAAGGAGTAGTAAAGGGATCTGGAATAGCTGCTGAGATGCGATTCATGTTGCACCAAGTTGTTGGGGGTTATTTTAATATAGTGAGCACTTCTTCGTCATTTCAGATTTTAAATGAATAAAGAGACATTATTTAAGTTAGTAATATGGGACCACTAAATGGTGCAATAATTTGATCATTTTAAAAGAAAAACAATCCTCAAATAATATTTGTATTCTTTAGTTTATGTTAGTTATCTAATTACACTGCTGCTCTTTATCAGATCTTTAAAAGATGTCTTGCTATACTTTGGAAAACATAGTGAGATATTTTAATATAAGTAATAACTGTAGACAATTTAGCACCCAATTGGATGTTAAGAAAAATCTTGCGATAGCAATTCAAAATTTTAGAAGCAGAGAGCTGAAAAAGGAATGGAAGAGAGAACTGATTGTTTAGTCCAGTCAAATAACTAGATATAGAATTGTTTTTAAAGAAGCAAGTTTTTTTAATGGCCTTGTTCTCTTATTCTGTTGGACAGTGCTAGCAGTAAGAATGACAGTCTATGAATAAACCTCATTGTCATGTTACCACGCTGTCCCTGTTGCTGCCTGGTTTAATGAATGTCCAGAGACAATTTAGATGGAAGAGTCTAAATGGGCTCCTGGGAGGGGCAGTGGCAACTTACCATTAGAATAGCCAGTAATTCAACATCTCACTGCCCTCCTGCTTGAGGCTGACGCTGTCTGCTTTTGATGTCAATCTTTCAGTCTCTTCAACCCTATACTTATAACTCCCCTCCATTTATATCTAATTACCGCTCTGTCTCTGTTTTTGTGTCAAGCTTTTAAGCTCTCTTTAAAAGAGACAGTGTCACAAAAATAAACACACATTTATGGCTAATTTAAATGGGATACTACCGGGCCTTACTTGGCTTCACAGAGTAACTATATTATTATGGGATACCTATAACCCTGACAATCATTTCAAGCCATCAATTAAGTTTGTTCAATATTGGTATTATAAACATGATGGTATTGTGTTGTTCGTTTCACAAGGAGCAATATAAATGAAAACAAATACTAAATTGCAGCACTTTATCCATACTGACTTCCATGTTGCGCCCCCGGGGGAAACACTGCAGTGACCGCTTTTAATTAAATTAAAGTTGACAACTCTGTCCAGCAAATATTCTTGTAATCTGATCATTCCAAAGTGTAGTAATGATGTTGAAATGGGTCCAAATTGGGTTCTACTTCTTCATTATCCTGCTATAAAAATCTGAATTTGTAATGGAAAATGGTATCACTGAATTAGTCTTTTATTTCTTCCTCTTTCGCTTAGTCTTTCCGTCAGTTGTCCACACAAACATTTGATAAACATGGTGGACTTTGGAAGTAGGTTGAGGATGGAGAAGAGTACTTGGAGAAAGATAAAAGAGAAAGAGAGATAGAAACAAAAAGAGGTGAGTGGTTGAGAGACTGAGGTGTACGCAGACAGTGGGGGGTTGGATGGTGGATTGGGGAGGGATTTGTGTTGCTGTGTGTTGAGTGTGACACAATTGGTGATGAGCAGAAAAGGCAGGATCTCAGAGGAAATAAGATCAAAGGACCATCTGCCCACATACAGGAGCTAGGCTGTTTTTAGTCGCAGGAGAGAGTGGCTCAGGCAGTGCCCAGGCCTAAAAAGGAATGATGTTTCTGGCCCATGGATATAGAGGCTAACGCTATGCTTAAATGGATGGTAAATCGTTCATCTGCAGCTTTTTGTTTCCTCTGAGCTTGACATTTTCTAAACATATGCTCAGCCATTTTTCTTTTTGCTGTGGCTTGCATTGCAGGATAAGTTGGCGTGAGCAAATTTGCTCTGCTGGCTTTGGGATCTTTTAGGATTTGAGTTTTAAAATGGGAGGGGGAGATCTCTGAACCTTTTTTGTTTATTTTCTTGCCTAGTAATCCACTAGCACCAAATATATATACTGTATATATACCAATTTAATTTATTAAGACACGCAGTTATTTTTCCACTTTTCATCTCAAAGAACATTTTTAAATCAATCTGCTTAAATAAAGAGGCAATTGAATATACACACACTTTTTTTCAGTAAATAGTAAGGTCAGTTTTAACCTGTTAAACCCCAAGGTCCCCGTCGGCGGGTACTTTTTTTTTTTTTTATCACGACACTGTGTCTCAGGGGATCTTAATATTTAAGAACCTATTAATGTGTTATACCAGATTGACGGGAATAATCTCAGCTAACTGACGATACAAACCATTTTTACCAAAACAAAACACAAGTCATAAGAAGCATCTAAATGACCCCTGAGCGAAAAATGCTAACGCACTTTGGCACATAACTCAAGATAAAAAGATACCCTTATTACTTATCGTAGCTGCACATACAAGATATCGGATTAAAGCTGAGGTTCCACAGATTATATAGGTATAGTATCATCACTGAGCGATCCAAACTCGCGACAGGGGAAGCAAACACAGACATCACAACACGTACCTTTACAGAGCTTTTACGGGAGATCGTCTCACCGTAGCTGTCAATCTGATCAAAAGACGTGTTCAATGGCATTAAAACGAGAAAAAACGCGGCTGAATTGGTTAATCATAGGTTGATAATGTGTCTGTAGCTTTGAAAAAATGATTTCTATTCCATAATTCAATTTTTATGTAAAAATCGTATAAGTTAGCTGCTAATGGTAGCCACCAGAGTTATCGCAGTTTCCGGCTTTGGCTATGCGTCACTCTCACTCCTTATTTCGTAATGTGTGTGCGTATGTGGGAGTTCCCCTCGATTCCATTGGCTCTGACGGTNATGAAAAATTGAGGAAAATGAGGAAGAACTGATGATTCAAATGTTGTAGTACAAGTAATAATGTAGTTAGTGCATAAATTACTACTGCAACAAATGTGTTAATTTTCTTCATTATTAGTCGAGTTTTTTTGGACGAATGCTCCGGGCCAGTGGTTACAGTGGTGGGGCCAGTGATAATACAATTCTACCGGCCCGGAGGGCCAGTGGCATTTTACCCTTAATGTCTACCCCTGCAGATATATCGATAGAGAGTTTGTACCTAAACAAAACACAAGTCTAACACCAAGCGTTTAAATCAGCACTCTTAGCGATATTTTAAACTTCATGCTATCTGCACAACCTATATCATATGAAAAGCTGAGAGTCCACAGATTCTATTGGTATACATTTCATACCTGTGCGATCAAAACTCACTGTTCTGTATGATAAATAAAAGAACATTGTACCTTGAAAATCTATAGCGGGTACATTTTACCCGTTGGCGGTTTTAGGTATACAGCGAACTCTGGCAGTTCTAGTGTTAAAACAGAATTGTCCCCATTTTTCTTTAATAGTTACTAACATTAGATATTTTAATGAGATATGGACCGCAAAACAAAACATTTGCCTGAATAACGAATTTAGCAGTTGGTCATGAAAGTCAATGAGTGTCACTTGCAATGACAGTGTTGTGTTTTTATTACATTACATTACATGTCATTTGTTAGACGCTTTTATCCAAAGAGACTTACTCAATACTGTGGACAATCCCCAGAGGAGCAATTTGGGGTGAAGTGTCTTGCCCAGGGACACAACGACATGCTTACTGCAGTGGGACTCAAATTTGCTACCCCCTGGTTCGAAGTCCAGCACACTACCCACTGAGCCACAGCCACCCCATTTTATTGTATGAACCTTGTACATTAAAAACAAGGGGGGAGGCCCTTTTTCCAGTTTAGAGCAATAGCACCTCCAAATGTCTGTGCACGTCCCTGCAGCCAGGGACAAGGGAGGCTGGCAATCAATTATATTTTGAAGAGAAATTGACTCTCAAGCCGGCTCTCTCACAAACTGCTCTGTGCGCAAGCAGACCGCTGCACACGCTCTCTGCCTCGCTCAATCTCTCTATCTCCCCTCCTCTCCATCGCTCAACCTCATTCCATCTCTCCACCCTGTGTGCGCTCCTCAAGTTTGCCTGCGTGCTTGCCCAAGTTGGCACAGCGTTACAAATGCGCCACAAAACCAACCAATGGATGTAACCTATAATAAGACCGTCAACAGCCCTATGGCAACCTAAAACCCCTCTCTTTCCGTAACAACAATTCACGAGCGCTTGCCTGGGCCCGCCCTGGTAAATCAAATGCCCGCCCAGAGACGTATGTCTGCCGCCGGATCTGTATATATAAGTAGCCTACAATCGTTTTTTAACGTGTACAATGCCTTCAGTTCACACCAAAATAAATGTCAATACTCACTCTCTACTGCAAAGAAAACCTCAAGCCTTCATTAACAGTGAGACATTATATTTAACCAGCATCTTTATAACTTTATATAAATGTGCAACTGTTGTGGCCCTTTGTCTATCCGCAAAAATACACGCTGTAATCCATCAATGACATTGAACTATTTGAAATGCTGTGATTTTATGAGTCATTCGGCACACAAATTATCCATTAAACACGTTTTATAATCCCGCTCAAATGTTCCATTTGGCACCGCGCGCTGCATTCTGCATGATCGATGGTGCAGGGATTACATGCGCGGGGGGGGGGTTAAAAGTAGAAACTGCACAGTAAACATGATTGCATTATAGCGTACTCAGTTCTATATAAGTCGTATTCAGGAGTAGAAGATTGTACATGTATATACTTGACTTATTTTTAGTATGTATTCACAATACATAGTAGGCCTACATGGTAACTTGCAACACCCTCTTGCACTATTTTATTTTATGTCTGTCCTGTTATTGCATTCTTTTGTATTGTTTATATGATATCATATATTTCTGTTGCATTGTTGGAGCCTGGGGTTTAAGATATTCATTACCATACGCTGTGTATATGAAAATAAAACCTTTGAATCTTTGATTTTAAGTATATTTGCTGTGTGCATTACGCTTCCCACTGAGAAAATCATTTAAGTGTGAATCTTGAAATGGAGCTTTGGCACCTGCCAGTGTTTTTCTGCCAGCGACTAAGGATAGGTTATTTATATTTTACCCCTCTCCGTTGGTTGCTGAGGCAGAACGTGCAGATATTCCGGGGCTTTTTGCCTTTTCCTCCTCCCTTCCCCTCCTTGTAGACAGCGCTGAGGCACGGCTCTCCGTCCTCCCTCCCGTCCCCCACCACCAGCACGTTGGCCAGGTGTGAGATGTAGCTGGACGCCAGGCGCAGCGTCTCGATCTTGGAGAGTTTTCTGTCCACCGGTTCCGTGGGAATGAGCGTCCGCAGCGCCGTGAAGGCCGTGTTCACGTTCTGGGTCCGGTGTCTCTCCCTGGCGTTAGCGGCGTTCCGATGCGGCACCACGACGCCGGACTCCAGCCTGTAGCTCTGCCCCGGGATCCCGCAGCAGCCGTAGCCCTGGTCAGTGCTGCCGTCGCTCTCGCTGCGGTTCTCCTCCTCGTCGTCCGAAATCAAGGTCAGGTCAGCCGGGTAAGAGAAGGGATGGGTCGATACCGGCCTCAGCATAGTGAAAGCCATCATTTGTAGCCAAGAGTGTTCCAGGGGAAAGACAATCCCTTATTTTGACGTAGAAAACAGCTGCATGCAGAGAGCCGAGCGTAAAACTGTTGTAACTCCAAGGTTTACACACGAGTCCCCAGTTTGTTTTGACACTTCCCCATAGGATGTTCCAGTGTGATGGTGATCTTGTCAGGGAGGGCTCTTATAGCAGCTACAGCAGCCTCTAAGCAGCTGCAGGGGGAGGGGTGGGGCACATGCAGCCTGGCTCCCATCTTCCCAAATGTTTTGGTCCTAAAAGTCCACATGCTTTGAGTATGGGAATATGTGGACACCTTCCTCAACACGACACCATTCGTTTTTATGGGTGGAATTTGGAGCACAAGTTTGGTTGCCTTCAGACGCAGATTGATGACTTAACAAACGCTGCAGAAAGTTGTGCAACAAAACTGAGAACATTTACTCAAGTTGGCAGAGGTGGGAGAAGTACTCGGATCTTGTAGCTTACTTAAGTAAAAGTAGAAATACCAGAGTGTAGGAATACTCTGTTACAGTAAAAGTCCTGCAATCAAAATGTCACTCAAGTAACAGTGCAAAAGTATTATCATCAAAATATAGTTAAAATACCAAAAGTAGTCATTATGCAGATTGGTCCATTTCAGAATAATATATGATATGTTTTATCATGATTGATCATTAAAGTGTTCTCAAAGAGCTTGGTGCAGCTAGTTTGAATGACTTTGTATACTGCAGGGTAGCTTGTGAATTTACTCCAGTTGGAACTAAAGTCTGATTTAACACTTGATTATATTTCACATCATTCATCCACATCTGTAAAGTAACTAAAGGTATTAAATACATGTAGTGGAGTAAAAGTACACCACTTACCTCTGAATTGTATAGAATAGAAGTACAAAGTAGCATAACACTGAAAAACAAAATTGTAGTCCTAGAGTACATGTACTTAGTTACTTTACACCACTGCGAGTAGGCCTACTGTACTTAAGACACTGACACTTGTTGTATACCAACCCAGTCTCATGGCATTTCGTGTTCACCAACACGATTTTTAATCTATTGATTCGTGTTCACCAACACGATTTCCCCCTTTTTTTCGTGTTGCACAGCACGATTTTAAAAGCAATGTATTTCTATTGGTAGTCTCACGGCATTACGTTTTATAGGAAGACCGGAAGCTGTGTGGTTGAGTTGTGGTGTGTGCGTGAGCGTGAGTCGTGTTGCTCATTGTCGCCGCGTTCTTTATTTGTTCACGAAATGGTTAGTGTGCACGTTGCGCAGGTTAGGTATGGTGTTCAGTTGTACCTGACACCATGTGTTCGTCGGCTGCGTAAAATGTTCTGACTCTATGCATTGGTCTTTTACAGTAGACCAGCATGTTTCGGGTCGTATTAGGTTGTACTACACGATACCGGTGCGACGGAGACACTCTGAGAACTCGTCTCAAATATTCTGTGTGCCGTCACCCAAGAGTCCACTGTTTCGGGTGTGTTACACCCCACCCCGTGGACAACAACCGACACACCTGTCTGTGACTTTCGATAAAATGAAAATAAATAATAATAAGAAAACAGGGAGGACGGTCGAAACTAACATAACATACCAAAGATAATGATAAGTAAATACAGACATGGATGAAAATGTCCATTCAGTGTGAGTTTCAACACTTATCGCTTCTACCCGTTAGAGATTTGTGAACTTAACTTATTAGCCGGACGATGACAATCGGAATCAATGACGAAGAATCCAGTTTCTATGGATAACAATGACGTAAAACTGAAGTCGAAAGACAGTAACAGTACCACTACGACAACTTATTTGGTTATTTGCTTATTTGTATCTCTAAAAAGGCCCCACGACAACTCTCCCACAAGGTTGTAACAGGGCTGCTCGTTTGTATGAGAACGCGAGGGTGTAAATAACAAACAACCTGCCACCAGTGGGATGAATAGTACATAGAGAACTAATAAATATAAGATATAACGATAGGTAGAGCTGAAGATTAAAAAGGGGGATAGTTGGTCATACATAGAGAAGTTATTTGTGAGGCGTTTAAAAAAAATTAGTTTATGATGTGTGTATTTTTGTATTAGAATTTATTGCACGATTGTGTCGATCCGCCACCGTCGGTTCCATTCGTGTCGTCGTTATTAGTTTGAAACATAGGTACATCACATCCCTGTGAATACATGACATGTTTGAGACTTCTACACACTCAGTAATAAGTACGAAAGTTGTATTAAAGTGGTCGTATAGACGATATGCGGATAAAAAGTCTGAGACTAATATGTAGCATTTAGTTAGTCTTTTGTCATTATATGTCGAACCGTCGGCAATAGCCACATTCTATTTGCTGGGATATACGTTCAATCTACGTTACATTGTTCAGTCGGGGCTTAATGATAACTAGGTGGACGTACTTCGTGCATAACCAGCACTGTCTCTTTAGCCTTACTAAAAAACTAGAAACTATATAAGTAGCTGGTGCCAGTTCATAAGTCCGCAAAGCCCGCGTAAGAAAGAGGGGTAAAAAAGGTTTCTAAAAGAGTAGCCCGAGTATTTATCTCTTGCCATGCCGTCTAGACAATTATATCGATTGGTCGCTAATGGGCATTACACATTATTTGTAGCGGTAATGACACTACCTGAAGAGTTTCATTTGTCTCTGTCGAGCCTTAATTCATAAATAGAATAAGAAATTTTCAAAAGCTAAGTATGAGGTAGCGTAGTTGTGTCGTTACGGGTGTACGTTAGCGCCGATTCTCTCTCCTCGCCTCGAATTGGTATCGACTCCTAAACCCATTTGAGCGAGCTTTACTTGATGCAGACCAAGGCAATAAAAATAAAAACTTTAAGTCGAAGGACTGCCTGCGGTTTTTTCGTCTCTATACCTTGATTTGTTTTTTATCCCTATTAATATTAACACACAATACCACTCATTTCTGTCACACGAAGTAAAAACTTTCTTTTGTTGTAATCCTTCTTTTTCTAAATTTGTTTATGTCTAAAGTCAACGACTCCGAGACTGCGGCGGTAAATACAAAGACGTTGTCTGCCGTCGTTTCAGGCTTTAATATGCGCTAAATCTTTATTTCAGTTATTAACATGGACTATAACTCATTCTG